TTCTTTTTGCCAAATCTGACCTCTTAAACCAGTTTTTAAAATGTCTGTTTCCTCACATTTCCACCACCATTCTTTGAGCCTGTAAAAATGCTGATATACTTCAATCCCCGTACAGCGATAACTGTGACAGCTTTGTCCGGCAAAGAAAGATCACTTCCATTGTAGCGACACTCCACCCCCCCCCCTTCCAGTCAATGGTTTATGAAATGCAGCACGGCCCAAGTGGAAAGTCCGAGCTTCCAGCTCTGGTATGGCAGGATGACAGAGGAATCAATAAGATGAAGAATCAACAGAAACACCAAGGCTAAGGTTCCTGAGATGGATGGATCTGCCGTCCCTCCCTCTCATCTATCATACAATATAACAGCTTGGGGGGCGGGCAAAAGCAAGACAAGCCAAAAACCATGTCCAGAGTACAACATTTCCAGAGCACTGTGTAACTTGGTAGATACAACTGTTAACAGCTTACTATGACTATGATGAATGTTGCTGCATTCGTGTCTTCTATTTTACCCATTCAATTAAGTTTTAGAACAAAACTTTGGCTGTTATCAAACTTGATTTTATTTAAACTTCTTGCAGTTTTTGCAAGGTTTTTATTTCTAACACCGCATTCTCATTTACAATGAATGTAAACAGTGCAGACAAATGCATATTTAGAATTTCCTGTTAAACACATGAGTGAGACATTTGCGTGTAAATGACACAGAATGATGATGTGACTGAACTCATTTTTTACCCAGCATGTATTTACTGTTGTTGCAGATCCCATTACGCCCAGTAGATGTCAGCATTGTTAGCAGGAAGTCATTATCGGCTCCAGGGCCGAAGTTCTCAGTGGAACACAAACAGCAAAATAATGTGCTGAACTGCGCTGAGCAGCTTGAATGTTTTATCAGCTTATCCAATGTGCTGCCAGAATAATATTGTGGCTACTGAATTCATGATAAGTGAACAGGGAATCATGACAACGTAGTTCTCAGAGAATAGGGGGCAAGATTTTACCATTGTTGCAAACAAATCTCAATATCTATCTTCATGATCCCACTCAGAGATAACAATGTAGTTTATACTGTTCTGAAGCCTTTCACTGGACTTGCATTATTAATAATTACACTACTATATATATGTTTTTAACACTTTGCTCGCACTCCATAAAACTTTATAGGTTGTTGTACATGTTTGCACACTGCAACTGTATCTATATAGCGTTCAGACTCAAAAACATGATCAACCTCCTTATTGGAAGCCATTTGGATAAAAGCGTCAGCTAAATGATATGTAATGTAATGTAACTGCTGTATTTTTGATTTGAGTAATAAGTACAGATCCCATACAGACGAACAGACTAAATTCCTTAAACAGACCTACAAGACTTAGAAGTTTAAAATTAATATTTCTTTACATTATGAAATAAAGAGTTTGTTGCAAAACTATGCTGCTTTAAATGATAAATCCACAGGTTTTCACACTGCAGTATGACTCAAGTAGCTTGAACCTGTGCACAGGTTTTCGGTGAGTCACATATGTGAATGACTTGTGCAAAAATAAATCTGTAGGTAATTTAGCAGGCAGGGGTTAAAGTCATGGGTGACAAATAAAATACAGGCACACACACACACACACACACACACACACACACACACACACACACACACACACCGAAAGAAAATATGTCAATAAATCTTAACTGCATGTGGCAAACAATAACAAAAAAATATTGACAATCTTGAATCAAACCCATATCCAGAGTTGTATCACATGTGGAAATTATACTTTTTGACTAAATCTGACTAAATCTGAGAAAATAGACCACACCGACTATTTATTGCAGATTAATTCATCAAATCCTGTTTATCTTCTGGTTAGCGACTGCTCACAGTATCATCATGCACCTGAATCAGAGGGAACAGCAAACACTTAGCAGCTTGGTTAGTTGTATTCATGTCTTCTTGGCTGTGTTAAAGAGTTGTATCACTCCATGTGCGAATAAAGTGAGAACTTGCACAGCTTCGCACATGAATTGTGTTGCATGGGGCGGGAGGCAGCCAGTGGGCCGAACACATTCACACAGCACACAGCACACGTGCACGTGGTGTGTATGTGTGGCTGCATAGCATTAGTATAAATGCTCTATTGTTTCTTTGGTCTATGACTAATAATCTCTCCTCGACTCTACCCCCCCACCCACCCCACCCCCTTCTCTCTCATTCTCTCTAATGAGCTGTGGTCTGTTATCAGTCATTACAGGAAGCCTGATTATCCAACTGGCATTCTGCACACGCTCCCAGAGAACTTCCTGAAGGTGACCTTTCCACGTTGCCATAGGAACCACCTCTCTCTGCTCGGAGATGCTCTGCTCATGCACAGAGTGAGAGAAGAAAAGAGAGAGAGAGCCGCACAGGGAGAGAGAGAGAAAGAGGGAGAGATAGAGAGAGCGAGAGAGAGATAACAGAACATTTTCTTCTAAACAAAAGTGCATTAGTATGCTGCAATGTGATAGCACGTCCACACAAATCATTTAGCGATGCAGAACTACAGATTATTTTGTTAACAAATAATAAATAGACATGAACCTGCCCACATAGGTGCATCCGCAAGTCTCCATTTGTTACGCTTAATTGCATCTAATTCATCTTAAAAAAAGGGCTGCAAAGGTCCATTAGCTCCATCACCTGAAGGCAGATCTCACAAACACAGTCTCTGCAGTCTGAGGTAACTCATTCCCTTTATCTTTATGATGAACTGTACCTTTACCTTATGTTTAAAGGATGGTGGTTGGTGCAATAAAACAAACGTTTAAACTAAATTGACATGTGTAGAACATTCTGTTGTTTTTTTATAATTTACATTTATTTTTATAGATATTCTTGGCTGTCTAAAGATATTCAATAATACCACTTGAGAAATAGGAACAACACATAAGAGCTTTAAAGGCCCTTGTCAGAAATAGGCTTATTCTGATTTAACAAAGATTGAATTCATTTTTTAAAGCATGTCATGTTATCACAAAAGCACTGTTCGTTTGTTTATTGTTAATTTGACAATTTACCTTTTCTTATTCAATACATGTGGATTTAGACCAATGACAACACACATCAGGCATAAAAGGCAGGGACACACTCAGGCTCCACAGTCCTTTACATTTCATCAAATGTATGTGGTTTCATAGGCTGTACAATAGATATGTATGTTGGGATGTACAGTCAGTGTACACTCACTCACTCATTAGTCTAACTCTATTGATGGTCTTGGCTTAAATAAGTCAAGGATAATAAAAATCTGTCATACATGATACATTAAAATATTAAAATGTATTCAATTTCCTGCACAAACCTTAAAGCTGAGACAAAAATAATATCTTGTCCATGTTGAGAACTTTCCAGAGCAACACAACATGAAATGCTTGTTTAAGCACAGCACAGCACAACACTTCCTGTCCTTTGAGACCTTCTGTATCACCGTCTCGCCTCAGACATCGTCATGGCGACAGCTGCTCCTACCCTCTCGCTGCCTATCTCCTCCCTCTGTTTCCGCTGATGTTTGCCGCACACTAACCTGCCAACACAGACCTGCCCACCAGTTTCGAGTTTCTTGCCACAGTGCGTCATTTGACTGAGTCACCTGCCCTAAATCTCAAGCCTCTATTATTAAAGAGGCCAGTGAGGTTATGCCAAACTTGGGGGGGATATAGTCCCTTTCTCTTAACAGTCATTGAAAATTGATAAATGTTTATGTTGCCTGTCTGGCTATGGGAATCCCTCATTTTAGCTGACACTCACACACACACAAACACACACACATAAACTGTGGAAAAAACGCAAAAAGTGAATAACAATTGGAGTGGAAATTAAAAATTAATAATTATTGATTAATATGATCCAGCCATATTTAAGTGCCTTGAATTCAAAAGCGAAAGAGAAAAGACACAGATATCTTCTGGAACATATCAAACTGTTTCCAAAACTGCAAACTGCTCTGATTGAATTCAAAGAATCTCTTGGGTCGCACAGAGCACAGGCAACACTTTTCTATATATTTGATCCACGGTGGGTTTTTGTATAGAGGATTTTTTGTGTCATAGTTTTAAACAAATGATAACAATTTATATCAGAAATCTTGATGAGATGCGATTTTCTCAAGAGGATGGCTGAGATGGTGACTAACTCTTCCTACAGGAATGTACAATGTACGTCACTGAGCGCGCTAAAAATAGACTGTGATGGAATGTGACTCGAATCCTATATAATGGCGTGAGAGAGTGTGTATGTTCATGTGCGTTTTGCACTATTGTGTACCTGTAGAGGAAGCCTGACTCAGATGTCCTGGTTCCACCCACATTGTGTTTTCTCCTCCAACTTTATTCGTTGTAGATCTTTGACACATTAAAGCCTGGCTTTATGAATACACAGCCTACTGTATTGTGACATGTTATGTTTCTGCAGCAAGCAAACACATGCTCTGTGCATCCATCCATCCCTCCATCCCTCCATCCATCATCTGTCTGTTTGTCTGTCTGTATATGATCTATCTATCTATCTATCTATCTATCTATCTGTCTATCTGTCTATCTATCTATCTATCCATCCATCCATCATCCGTCTGTCTGTCTGTCAAATGTATCTATCTATCTATCTATCTATCTATCTATCTATCTATCTATCTATCCATCAATCCACCCATCTATCTATCTATCTATCTATCTATCTATCTATCTATCTAAGCTGCACTATATTGAATCCCTCCATAAATCCATTCATGCATTATTCCATCTCTGAATGTTGAATGAATGTCCTCCTGTTCATCTCATCCTTCCTCCCTGGTTATTTATATTCGCTATTCAATCATCATATATTGTCATGGATGTGACGCTTGCGCAGTAGACGTCGTAAAAATCTGAATCATCGATGGAGGGAGAGAGAGGGGGAGAGGGAGAGAGAGGGAAAGAGAGGGAGAGGGAGATAGATGGGGAGAGAGAGAGAGAGAGAGAGAGAGAGAGGTGAGTGTAGAGTGATGGGAGCCGGCTGAGGGAACAGGAGCGAGTGATCACTCTCCGCGCTGCTGATGTCAGGTAAATGACGATTTTAATGACTTTTGATCATATTTCTGAGCCGCGGCTACAACATCTGATTGTTGCTTTGGTAAATAACACATCTGCGGATTCACATTTCCTGCAAAGATTCTTTCTGCCGTGAGTCATCGGTAGGCACGGTATCAGCCTGCACATCTGAAAGTAGCTTCCATGTGGAGAATAATGAGGAATAAAATCGTCAACTTTGTGTTTCCAACCTCACCTAATTCGATTAATATAAATGATATCAATATATACGTGTTCTGGTCGTTGACGTCCTCATCAAATGAAACTTATTGATAATCCTAACGCTTTGACCTGTAGACGTGGGGGTTTTCTCAGAGATTGGATTCTTTTAGGTGGTCAGTCGACCTGAGAGTGCTTGAATGCATTAAGGACGTGATCTGTTTCTATTCGCGTCTCTTGGGGGGTTGGGATGACGAACAGAGGAGATCTGTGCTCGGTCACATGTTACGTCTGTGTGTTTTCCTGCTGATGGTAATAATGGCGTCAGCACCACGGACAGTTCCCAGTCCTCTGGTGGATAGCACACTCTGTATCAGTGGCAGTGTTATCACATGCTTCACGTCCATTCCCATCATTGTGCTCATGTATGAAGGTTTTAATCATCCAGTTTGGTCTAGGTCAAGACAAGGTCGATATCTACGTTGTTGTTGTTTTGGCAGGTTCAATGTTATTTCGGCTAAGGCTTGTTTTGTGGATAGGAGGATTTGAATCAGTATTTGATCAACGTCACAGGTCGTTTTGTAGTATTGTTTTAAATTAGACACCTTGCACTCGCTCTTTTCTTTTTTCTTATTCTTATTCATTTCTGCTCATGTGCACATCAGGTTTAACTTTTTAAATTGAGTGTATCTCTGTGTCCTGGGCCTCTTTGGGTCAAGGTCATATTAATTCAGTCAATTAATGCAACTGCTCGCTCATCCCACTCATATAAAATGTCATTTTCGTTAGTGCACCGTGTGAATTCATGTTCAGTCATTAAGTGAACTGAGACACTGTCCAGATCCTCTTCTCATCATCTTTGTAACCTGAACATCTGTAAGGAGAATTCAGACAGCTAAGATAGAGGGTGCAGAATTCAACGACAACTGTGTTGTCCTGACAGTAATATGACCCACCCCCATTTATTCAGCTTAGAACAGCTTATTAAGGTTTGTGCTGGTTGACATTTGATCAGTCCAATGAAATAAATGAATCTTATAACAAATATCTGAGGATGTTGTGAAACGACTGAAAAGGCTTTTGTAGACAATTTGTGGTTTTGGGCAGTAAACAAATCTGAGCAAGACACTGGGGATGGCCTTCATACTTTAGTTGATACTAGAGCCTAGTTTTGTGTTTCTTCTACAGATTAACCACACAGAGGTTGTGTAATGATATGCATGGCAGTACAATCTGGCAGTTTAAGGTGCTCTTTTGTGTATGGGCCCCTAAAAATCCATCCCATATTGCAATTTCATGTCAAGTTATCACTGCGCACCTTCACACACGAAACACTTATACGGTTTACTCTCATACTGATCTACATACACTTGTGTAACTGGTTTACTAATTAGTTGACCTGAAAGCTCTCCCAGATGCATGCCTGATACAAGAGGTGTGTGTCCACTGCTACTTTATTTAACATTAAATAACCACTACAGTAATTCTACTTGATTTATAGATCGACCGAGATGAACCAGAAAGCCAATTAAGCCACTGGTTTTGTTTCAGGGACAAGTTGTTTTTTTTCCATTTGTCACATGTGTCTGGAGAGCACAGCACTGCTGCTGTAGAGACCGTAATATATTTCACTGGGATGCATGTCCTGTTGGTTCCTGCCCAGACCCACATAATAGCATGAAGAAATATTGCCAACACTAGGATCAATGTTTTATTCCCACTTCTCTAGTCCCCAGTCTATTTCTGCTACAGAAGCAGCAGTTGAGATTTAGTGTCTTCTGCCATAAACTTGAAACATAGTTATGTGTGTTTGTGTAGAGGCACCGAGCTGTGTAATGCCTCGGAGATGTTTATTACTGAGGGAATAACAACTGTGTGTAAACTAACATTTCCTAGAGCAAATTTTTTCTTGTCTTCTCATTTTATTATCAGTATGCTTGGGTTACTTTGAAAGAAACCAAATAGAGAATATAGTTACAGGTATGACAGTTTTTATGCAGCTATATTAACCGAATATTATGAATCTAAAGCATTTAAATTCAGTTTAGAGAAATGACTTTCTTCTGCACAACAGAATTTCTTTTCTTTTTTTTAATATTTGTTAAAAGGCTTTTCCTGTAGAAAAAAGTTACAGGTATGACAGCATGTCATTAGTTTGCATCTTCTATGAAAGCTTTCAACCTGCTAAATATAAAATATATTGTTTAGATTCTGACCCCAGGCACAAACTGTGGGTGTTGATGTTATGATATTTGCATGGAACAGGTTATTCCTGTGCATGTCAGCACTCTCTGCATCTAGCAGACACAATATTGAATCTCAAGAGGAGGAGCGATGTAATATTTCATGGCTTATTTCATAATGGCAGACAAGGAGAATGCATCATTAATCTCACTGTACCGAGCCAGCCTTGCCTTCAGTATGATGTTACATAACTATGTGACACTGTGTGTTAGGGTCAGCGCATGTGTGTGTTCGTGGATGTGAATGTTTAAATGTACAGTATTTGCATGCGTGTACATGTTTATGCAGTGTTTGCTCACAAACCGCACGGGTGGTTTCTCCAAGCAAGCGTGCAGCCGTGCATTCATACATTTGTGTGTGTAAATGTGTGTGTGTGTGTGTGCTTGTGTGTGTGCATGCATGTGTATGTGTCCTCAAGCAGGTACACAGATGTGAAGGATGACCTCTTGCTCAGAGATCTGTGGGTCGGAGTACGGAGAGCAAGTTCAAGCCACTGGGAACTGCCAGCAGTATGGAGTCCGCTCCTACCTACACCAGGTACACGACACACACACACACACACACACACACACACGCACGTACACACACACACACACATGCTCTATAAACTCACATGAAACTAAATACAAGTATAGGGCATCCCTCAGCACATATCAACCATTCTCTGCTACAAACCTGTATCATCACAGTCTCATATCGTTCATCACTTTATTGCTTCTTTGTGAAAGAGAGTGAAAAAGATATTACCCTCTCGTGGGTTTTAGTTTTTTTGTATTTGAAATGTGAGTAAAGCTTCTCCTTCTCTACGATCCCAAACCCAGTTTTATGAGGAGTGCACAGCTTCTATTTGGGAACGTGATGAAGATTTTCAGATTCAGAGATCACCTAGCAGGTGGAGCTCTTTACTCTGGAAGGTAAGATGAACTTTTTTTTCTCAAACAAAACCACACCACAGAGCTTTTTATTATCACTCTGTTATCAAGACTTTGCTTCTGTTACAGTTTCCTCCCCCAACATCTTTTTCCCTCCTGTCCAGGTCTGTCTCGTGTTCGGCTCCCTGATCTTGGTATCAGGCTTCGTTGTTGTTTTGGTAGGGTATGCCACTCCAGCCAGGATCGAGGCATTTGGCGAGGATGATCTACTTTTTGTCGACAGGTATAGAAACAATACAGTTAAATTTTAAAAAAAGATATTCTTATATGACTTTACTGTAGATCAAACAGCTTTAATGATGGCTGTATTTGCATTTATTGCCTGCCTAGTGGGACATAAGTTCTATGTAAGGGTAGACACTGTAAAAGTCTTTGATTACACACTTTTTCAAACTCTATTAATTAGCATAAAAAGGTGGAAGGTAACGCTTTTGTCTCAATATTGTAGTTTTTCATCTTTGCCGGTATAAGTTGTACAGAAACACAATGTTACATTTCCAAATATTGCTCTAAACTACTCTTCCTTTAGCCACGCTGTAAGTTTCAACCGCGCACTGGACGTCTGCAAACTGACGGGTGCCGTGTTGTTCTGTGTGGGCGGCACCTCCATGGCTGTGGGCCTCCTGCTGTCTGCCTTTGCCAAAAGCTATTCCAAAGAAGAATTGTATCTGCAGCAGAAGTTTAAGGAGAGGTTGGCAGATCTGCAAGCAACAGTTGGTAAGATTTATTCCCGTTCTGTTTCAGTATAACAACACAAGATGGATTAAACTTGCCAAACTGTCAGTAGAATAAATTAAAGTTCTTTTTAACTGTTAAATTGTACTTGTTGGTGTGGATACCCTAGAAAGCAGATATGCTCTTGTCGCAGGTACCCCCATAATGAAGGCACCCACCCCCGGGGAGGGAAAAGTGCCAGTCACGCTTTCCAAAGTCCAGAACATCCAGCCAGCAAACTCAAAGTTGGACACCTGACAGACGTCCACATGAAGGCATAAAGTGGAGAAGTGTGTATGAGGAATGATTGGAGAGCAGACTATGTGCGAGTGCGTATACACACGTGTGTGTGTTTTGATCTACATGTGTATTTTCTCCTTTGAAAGGTCAGCTTACATGTTACTTATTATATCGTTTCCTTGTCTTTATTTGCCGTGTTTGACACTAAAGATTGATTTCACGGTTATATACAGTAGCTGCAGAGTTAATATGGAGATGAACAAAAGGAACATCAGCTGCGTAAAATTCATAGTTATCTAACAAAGCACATGCAGCTCTCGAGCTCTGCCCAGAAAACAAACCTCAGACACAAATCAATAGAACGCGGCTGCTGAACAACATAATCGTAGCTTCCACAGAGCATTTTCCTGCTGAGAGGATTCACATTATGAAAAAAAGAAAAGGATGGTGTTAGTGCTGGAGGGTGCAGAGCGGCAGATGCAGTGTTGTTTGAAGTTATTGCTGATTGGGCCCTATGCACAGAAATGATCAAAAGACGAACCAAGCACAACAACCATTATTTCTGCCTGGTGTCTAAAAGAACAGCGGAGGACGAGTGTTATTATGGAAGCTATACTCATGTGTGCATACTCTGTGTATTTATCCCTGAACTGAGAGCAAGACCTGTCCATCACGACCACAGAACATGAATACATATGCTTCAGCTGATGAGTACTTCCTCTGATACATGCAACAACATGCCAAGAGAAGTGTGAACAGATATTTCTCCAAGTAGTTCACACAGTCAGAACAAATTAGGCACAAACTGATTAGAACAAACCTTGCGGGTAGATCCCACACTGACATTTTCATCCGTCTTGTTAGGCCTCTGATTTTGTCTTCTCCAGTAAATCCTCAGAAAGGATCGATAAGACGAGACCAGACAGACTGATGAAAGCTACATTGAACCGGACAGAACATGCAGAGCGGCACAGTCTGCCACTAAATCAAACAGCTTATACTTTCTGGACGAGATAAACAAGGCTTTCATCATGTCGTCTGTCGCAAACACACTCATTCTCTGTTCCTCTCCTCCTGAGCTGGTCAAATGAGATGTTCAGGTACTGTGTGTTAAAGATGGAGAAGGTGCGAGGGTGCGTGAGGAGAGACAACATGACGGATATGTTACGTAAAAGGGGGGGGGTGAGGAGAGCTCACTCAGCTCTCCCATGAGATTGTGTGTGAGAGCGCTCACTGTTTTCAGTGTGATGTGATAATTCACAGACAATGTACAGCCAATATATCACCCGATACCAGATCTGACACAGCCAATATCAATAAGGTTTTTATTTTATTCCAGACAAGCTTGGCACAAGCTCAAGCTCACATACTGTAACTGTAACTTTCAAGCACAACAAGCTGTAAACAGTCATGTGTCGGTACTTTTTAAAACCTTTTCTCTTTGTGTTTCATAAATATGTGGTTTGAATTTTTGTGACCATGCCACTTCAAATGATTATTCTTATTTCTTTGTGTTTATATTTTAGATCCATTACAACACACTGGACTTAGATTTGAAATCATTTGTTACAGTGGTAGTTACTGTCGAAGTGCCATTAAGCTACAGGCCTCAAAATGTGCAACAATGCAGCAGCTCCTTCAGATTCATGCAGCAAGAATTGTGGATACTTATTGTATAAAATAATGTGCTCATGTATCTTGACTTTTCAATATCACAGGCTTTGCTCTCGTCTTTATTGCCTTTCCTCTTTAACTTTGAGAAAGTCTGGATTTTCATTTCAACACTTAAACATATTCGGCTCATTCAGAACAAACTATTGTAGCTTTAGCTGTGAAGAACAACATACTAACAAGTGAGATGTTATAAAGGAACCAACTGTAGTAGTACAATACAAGAAGACTAAGCTGCTGTAACCAAACACTCCAGTGGGCCAGTGTTTAGTAAATGGATAATAAATGTGCTGATTTATTGTTACATGCTGTGAATTTTATTTTTTTATCCTTTAAAGCAACACTATGGAACTTTTTTTCACTTTAAAATAGCAGCTTCGACAATAGTGACGGTTCACTGACTTGGAACAGAGGGAATGTTGCCAGTTTCATTCCTACTCCTCATCCTTTTACTTTTTGATTGATCAAATCAGACCCAGCAAGTTCAAGAGTAATTCCCAACTGCAGATCAGTTAAAAAGACTTAAACATTCATTTTAAATAAAGTGTTTATTGCTGTGTTTATTGTGAGGAAACTTTTGAAATATTAAACATGTATAGCAACAGATCGTCCACTTCAGGGATCATTTGTTTTTACATTAAAACCTTAATCACTCAGACACACAACAAAATAATCACCACCTGTGGCTGCAGGGGGCGCTGTTACTCAGTAAAAGTTACATGGTGTTGCTTTAACTGACTGTAGGTTAATTCCTCATTCCAGCCCAGAATCTGGGAGATTTCTTTTCTGTTATGTGTCTGAAAAAATGTTTTTGATCCTATTTCCTCTGATTCTATCTTCTACTGTCTCCTGCTGTAACAGTGGATTCTCCCAGTGAATAAAACAAGTCGACTGTACTTACTGAAGGATGGATTGGATAAAGAACAAATATACAGATGGGTGACAAAGCAAATACCAACATAACGTATCTTGAAGAGGTGTTGAGCCACCGGAGCAGTTTCAGTGTGCCTTGGCATTGATCCTACTAGTCTCTGAACTCAACTGGTGGAATTATCACTGTTCTTCTAAACGATTGAGGGTTTGATGTGCTGATGAACATGTCAGTGTAAAATCTTCACTGAGTGGAGGTATCCACAGTATGGACATTTTTCATCATAGTATAAAGACCCCCTCTCAAAAAAAAATCCCCCCTGCAGTACAACAGAGGCACAAGATCCCCTCACCGCAGGAGTGAGGCATTCAGGGCCTGCACCGCTCCGCTGCTGCTCTCGCCCACTTACCAATATGATGAAGTTTGATTCATCTGACGCCCCCCCCCCCCCACATATCTGTAGATCAGTGTCCATGTTTGTTTTTGCATCACTAAATTCTCAAATGTGATTTCATCTTCTCAACTGGGAGTTGGATCACACCACTCTCTATGTGATCGTCAACAGAACTGTTCTCCCCGACACGGTCCTGCATTGAATCACAATAACTCCCAAGCATCACAAGCATCAAACGTGAGCTGTCGATCCCAATTTCTGACCCTTGTTACTGACGTCTTTCCCATGGATCCAAACGCAGATGTCTCTTAGTCACTGTCATATTGAAGCACTGAGCCTTTTAACTGAAGCTCCTGCCATCTGTGCCCTGACAATAAACCCTCTGTCAAAGCAAAGCTCTTATCCTCCTGGCATCTTGATACAAAACCACATGTTGAGCATCCTCACTTACTACTTACATATACTTACACTTATATATTTCCATTCATTATATTTCTCCACTCCACTTTATTCCAATATTTCCTTTACAATCCCCACAGTCACCCGTCTGTATATCAGTGTTTACAGAGAGTATGTCTATTTTTTAAAGAAAACAATAAACCTGAACTATGTGTAGTTTAAAACGTGTGAAGATACTATGTATCCTCATATCAAAACATTATCACTTAATCAAAAGCACATTTCCATTTCCACTTAATAAGCGTTATCACCAGTACTGCATTATTAAGGGGGACAGTATGTTTAATTCTGTTGTGATATTTCTCTCTTTCCATTCATACTAACAATGTAATAATCTGCATAAAAGCCTAAAACTTAAGCACTAATAATATTTTGAGACATATTTTCTAAGGAATTTCAGTCTAATGTAAATACACTGGGTAGATTTTCATCAGGTACTTCAACAATACAAAATGTATGCAACCTTTTTTCCAGTCAACGATCATTTATAATAGACAAACATTTCTCACCTATGATCTCAATTTAAAGAACTGTGATGCACTTCTTCATTCGGTCATTCTGCGTCTGTTTTTCCACGAAACAGTCGGTTGTGTAAATTAGCTATAACCCGCCTCACACAGGCCGGAAACTATAGTGTGATCTCTGATCTATTTTAGTGTGTGATGGCCTCGCCGCCCTCTCATCCCTGCAGCTGCTCAAATTGGGATTCATGCAGTCTGTGTGTTTGTGAGTCACCATCCAACGGGAGAGAGAGAGCATGGATGAGAGAGGGTGAGGAAGGAGGAGAGAGCAACAAGCAAGGGACACACAGGAGGTGGGGGCTGGTGTGTGTGTGTGTTTGTGTGTG